ACTTCTGCCAGTTCATTCCAGGAAAATTTTTTCCATCTGCTGAAATCGCACCCTTGTTCTGTTCCAGGCTGGGGCCACTCCTGGCCTTCACGGAGAATAATGCCCTGCCTCCTCCCTCATCTCTGTGGGACCCAGTCATCATGGTCAGTGCTGTATTATGCTGACCTTCAGTATAACAGAAGTAGATGACCAGTAACAGTAATTCACATTTAAGTAATCATTTAAATCAGCTTTACAAAACAGAGTCTCAAGGGGCAACTGGACAACAATAAATAAACCACTTCAAGTACATTACAAATTCAAAAGTATTAAATAAGTAATGTATTTTATTTTAAATTCTAAATTTTAAAGAAAACAATAGATATATGGATATATTCAATAAATTTTTAAAAATAAAGAAATGTACATTTAATCTGTTAAACCAGAAATTCTTAGGTAAATATAATACAATATATTCAATACATATTTCACAAATTGCTGATTTAAAACTTTTAAATTCTAAATGTAATCTGCTTTAACTTTAATCAATTTACAAAATTGATAAATTAATTCTGTACATAAATCTAGGATAAAAGTGTTGCTATAATTACTTAATGCATGTAATGTTTTCAAAAATCTTTTAGAAATATTTTACTAGTTTGGTTTTTTAAATGAGAAAGGCTATTACTGCATCATTGTTGAACTTTAAAATAAAACCAGTACTTTTCATACATAATATACTTAAGATATTGAACTTAACCAACAGCTGTTCTAATTAAATATTTTCCAATAGTTTCAAAACTTTAAATTTTCCATTTATAAGAGTTCTTTTTAAAGCAAAGAATCAGGTGTTCTACAAGAAATTCATGAATTCAGAGATGATATCTTACATACTTTTTAAAGGAAGAAAGGGAAAAAGTAGAACTAAGATATTATTTTATTGTACAAAGAAAAGAATGTATTCTGTTCCTATGAGGATCAAGACTTCTGACCTTGAGGCCAAAGGGAAGATTTTTAGAAAGAAAAAAAAGTCATTTCCGTGTTACTTGATTAACACTAAACTCTACTTGGCAGCACTCTTATTTGCTACCCAAGACTTTTGTGTTATTTTTTTAATAAGGGCTACAGAAAGCACATATCCTGCTCATAATCAAACTGTCATTCAGTGTGAGAACTACCATAAGCTTCAAAAACTGTGAAGTTGTATTCTGATTTGCAAGAATAAACCAATGGTAATTATGTTACCAATTCATGACTTGACAAAATTATGGTTTGTAGGGCTCCTTTAAACAGGGAGCACCTCTAATACACAGGGGCGGGGGAGGGGAAAAGTAGTTTTACAGTACACGAAAGTTTATTTCTGTATTATTATTTATTGATTATTGTCTTATTTGTGTTACAACTGTAAACCCACTTTTGCCAACCCCTGTATTTAGGAGATTTAAAATTACAAAAATTAAGCTTGTCAACTTTTTATGTTAGTACACCTCCCCTTCCAATTCTTCATAATGCCAATCAGTGGCAAATGGGTGGCCACGTATTATGTTTTTGAAAACTTAAGGAAACTACACACCAAGTGTTCCTAATACAAACAAAGACAATTCAACAGTCAATTGCTTGATAAACAGATAAAGAAAAAGGCTTATGCAATTGCCAAGCGTCTTTTATACAGATACATTCATCTCCTGGAATTTGATTAAGTATTTGTTTTGAAAGTAACCTTATAGTCTTTTCACATGCCCTTTACCACTACTGGGTTGGAGAGCAATTTATGACAATAAATATTTCATATACTTTAATATCTTTCTCAATATTATGATTTTGTCTTTTTTTTTGTCACTCCCAGCCCCTCCAACATATACTAAAACCACATATACACACATCAATGTTAAGTTTCATATATCTGAAATGAATTTCCTAAATTCTGTTCATACCATGTTTAAATATAAATGATAACCCCAAAACAAAACAGCTCTATTTTCCAATCATGGAAAAAACATTTGGAGATTTGCTCAAATACTCTGCCTGTAAGAAACACAATTCTACTCAATAGTCAATTTATTATTACCCTCCTTATTAGCATGGGTACAACTTCTCTCAATGTTGCCCCAGTAAAAATGTCAACTGCTGTTGTGTTTCAAAAATACTTAAAGCAGACCCAAATGAAAACGTTCATTATAACTATACTACCCTTCAAGAAACTCCGTGTCTTAAATAAAACCCTAGAAACAAGCTATCTGAAGTTATCTGGTATAACATAAGACTGAATGCTTTACACCTAAGTAACAGGGTACATTTTTCTCACCTGGTGTTGAAGGAAGGGAATTTACCATATCTATCCCGCATTCAGAAACGAATCTCATATAAGGTTAAGTAATCTATCTAAAAGGTTTTTTTGTTTGTTTTTTAATTTACTTTATCATTTTCCTTGGCAACACTTGGCAAAACATTGAAAACAGAAAAAAACCACTGGAGAAAAAGTACAGCAGATCCTTGAATTAAGTTGTTTTGTTAAAACGTTTCTAAGGAAAAAAAACCTGATTCCTCACTGGGACAACTGTGCGGAACATGCATGTTCTGCCCATGTCTGCATGGGTTTCCTCTGGGTCCTCTGGTGTCCGCCCATATCAGAGACATAAGTGTTAGGTAAACTGGTCTGTCAACACTGTCCCAGCCTGAGTGAGTGTGGTGTGACCGTAAGTGTGCCCTTCCTGTCCACGGTGGGTGCCCGCCTTGTGCCCGGAGCTGCCGGGTAGGCTCTGGCTACCTGGGACCCTGAACTGGAATAAGCAGGTTGATAAAGAATTCTCTTACTTATTTTCACTCATCTTTCTTAAACATATGTGCAGCTCACATTTATTTCAATGTTTAACATAAGAAGGGTTTGGGGTCTTTATTTAGAAGCTTGGTGATGTTTTTGTTTCGAGAAATACGCCATACGAACTTACTCTTGTTTCTATCAGTTAGCCTACAGTAAAACTGGTTTTGTTAAGTGTTGTTTCACTTAAAGTCACAATTTCCAAGACATACTGACAACAGTAAGTGAGGACTTACTGTAGTTGCAAAAGAAACAGCACACAACCAGGTTACTATCTTAACACATAAATCAGTGTTCCAAATAGAAATGAGGAACACATCAGATTAACCATGACACGTAGAAATACACATGCTCAACAATCATATAAAAATGCTCAAGTCACCAATGCAAATTAAAAGAAATGATTATGATTCTTCACTTCTCCAAAGGCTGTTTAAAAACACACACAAAAACCTAATTCTAGGAGGGGCAATGGGTGTTCTCATATAGTCTGTTATAGAAGTATAAACCTGCACAGTATTTGTGAAGGACAACTTGGCACATATGTATCAAACGTTTTTTAAAATGTTCATACCTTTTGATTTAATTTTACTTCTGGGAATTTATTTTAAGAAAATAATACAGATAGGCATAAGAGTATTTTCATCACAGAACCACTTATAAAAGCGAAAAAATCTAAAATCCCAGTAATAGAGGATTCGTACAGGCATAGGCATAAAATAAAAGGCAATGCAGCTACTTAGAAAGCAGCTGTAAAAAGAATATTTAGTGACACGAGAAAATGTTCACTATTTAATGCTCAGTGAAAAAAAATTGCAGGCTGTAAAACAGAATGATCATTAGAATCCTAATTTTATGTATCCCAGTTTTGTATCTCTGTTCATGTGTGTGCATAAATGGATAGACAGAACAGAATTTCTGATACACTGTGATTCTTTCTACATCTATAAAATAGGATAATTGATCCTAGAGGCAGTCTTTCAGGCAAATAGCTGTGATTTCTTAAAATATTACAAATATTATTATTATTGTTTTATATAAACAACTAAAATCCATGGCATGCTTTATAATAACTAAGATACATTAGTTCCCATAATCTAGTATACTGTACACTACATTTTTAAAATCCTTACCCAAGGATATGTTTATCGATTTATAGAGAGGAAGGGAGAGAGAGTGGGGAGAAAGAGAAACATAGATATGAGAGAAACATTGATCAACTGCCTCCCTTATGCATCCTGACCAGGGACTGAACCCAAAACCTAAGTATGTGCCCTAACCAGGAATCTAACCCACAACCTTTTTGGTGGACGGGACAATGCTCCAACCAACTGAGCCACCCAGCCAAGGCGTACACTACATTTTTATTGCTTTTATTGTAAAGGTTTTATTTTCTACCTGTTCTCTGAGCTTTAAGTAGGCTTAATGAGTTATAGTTAAGGTTATTATTTTGTACATGAAGTTATGACTATAATTTACTGAATAAATAAATATCAATCAACAAATATTTATTTAGCATCTTCCAGGTACCAAGAATTATATCAAGTACTGAAAGAAAGTATATTTAAATATGGGCAAATCATTCCCAAGATTACACACAACAAAAGGAAATTGTATTTTCCCAAAATTTAGTCTGATGACGACTACTGAATATTTATGACTATGAATAATTGGCTAACCCCTATATTTGTCTTGTTCGCTAACTGGAAGCATTTAATTATTTTATAGCACCATTTTAGTAAGTTTTACTTTTTTATTATAGTGAAATATACATAACAAAATGTACCTTTTAACCATTTTTAGGTATACAGTTCAGTTGCAATATTTGTCCTTTTTGTCTGTCTTATTTCACTTGGCATAATGTCTTCACAATTCATCTATGTTGTAGTATGTGTCAGGATTTCATTCCTTTTTTAAAAAAATATGTTTTATTGATTTCAGAGAGAGGAAGGGAGAGGAAGAGTTAGAAACAGCTATGATGAAAGAGAGTCATTGATCAGCTACCTTCTCCTGGTTCATGGGTCGACTCTCAACCACTAAGCCACACCAGCCAGGCTCATTCCTTTTTAATACTGGGTGATATTCCATTGTATGTATATACCATACTTTGTTTATCCATTCACCCATCAATGGACATGTGAGTTATTTTCCCACCTTTGGGCTACTGTGAAAAATGCTACTATGAACACTGGTGTACAAATACCTTTCAAGTCTCTGTTTTCAAATCATTTGAGAATATACTCAGAAGTGAAATTGTTGGATAAGTTTTTCTTTTAAAAGTTCCAGCTTTCATTTTCATTTCCCTAATAGCTAGTGAAGTTGAGCATCTTTTCATGTATCTAGTGGCTGTTTGTACACCCTCTTCGGAGATGTGTCTGTTCAGGTCTTCTGCCCACTATGGACAACAATATGGAGGTTCTGCAACAAATTAAGAATAGAGTTATATATGACCCAGCAATCCCTCTTCCCCCCAAAATTTTGAAAATATTTATTTGCAAAGATATATGCACCCTCTGTTCATCACAGCATTATTCATGGTGGCCAAGGCATGGAAACAACTGAAGTATCCTTCGATAGGTGATTGGATAAAGAAGATGTGGTGCATACATACAATAGAATATTACTCAGTCATAAGAAAAGATGAAATACTGCCATTTGTAACAACATTGATGGCCTTTGAGAATATCATGCTAAGTGAAAAAAGTCAGACAGAAAAGTTAAAAACCATATGATTTCACTGATATCTGGGATATAAAACTGAAAGCAACAAGTGAACAAACAAGAAAAACAAATAAACAAAAATTCATAGACATGGACAACAGTAGGGTGGTTGCCATAGGGAAGGGAGGTGAAGGGGGCAGGAAAGAGTAAAGAGAGTCAAATGTATGGGACAAGAGATTATTTGACTTTGGGTAGTAGGATACAATGCAATATACAGATCATGTATCATAGAAATGTACTCTTGAAACCTATATAATCTTATTAATCAATGTCACCCTAATAAATTTAACTAGAAATTTCAACTTTCAATAAACATGTCTCTTGATTTTTAAAAAATTAATATCATCAAATTCTGCCTCTAGACTGAATTTTTAACAGCAAAACAGTTTTTATTCCTTTTCATTGTATGCTTTAAAAACCAAGTTAAAATAAAAGTACTTTTCATACCTATGACTTAAAGTTATGTCTCCCAATAATGCATATTAGCCAACTATTCTCTCGCACAGTGCATCACTCTTTGGTAATGTCATCTATAAATAATCTTCCTGTTTTCCCACACCTTCTAGCCATCACCCTTTAGTGTCAACCATCAAGGCACTTAACCACCAAACTATTCTGTTCTTTTAGCTGATATGTTCCCCTCCAACTATTAACACATTCTTATCTCCCACTTCTAGATAACACATACCTATTTTAATAATGACACCACAGTGGCTCACAATTTTGCTGTTAAACTAATAATCAATAAATGGGAAGAATTCCAGCCAAATGGAATAAGAACGAAGTAGTATGCTTCAAATAAAATTATAACCCTCCCTCAACACAACACTCAATTTCATACTATCATAACAATCAGATGTAATACAGTTGACCCATAATACAGGTATTACCATTACTGTAAGTACCGTTACTCAGTGGTGTTACAAAAGGATTCCACTATATTTTAAACAATTAATATGTGAGTATTCTACTCATATTAATATGTGAGTGGTTTTCAAATTATGTAAATTTAAGTAAGGCATTTAATCACTGCTGTTAGTGGATATATAATCTAGAGACACAAAATCATCATTTTGAAGTGAATTACTGACCACTTGTGAAGAGAAGTCTACTTCCTATCAAAAAGAAACCGTTGTGATGCCTTGCATACAATCCATAACTTTAAGACACCAGGGGCAAAATAAAGTTATTAAAGTCTTTCTGACAAAGTAAAGACCATAATAATTCACTGCTGGTGAGTTATGGAGTATATGCAGGGTAATTACCCTTCAAGTAAAGTATGTGGGCAGTTTCTTATTATAAATTTTTATCTTTAATATGTAAATTGTCACACTCTGTTAACAAACAACTTAAAGCAGGCTGAATTCTGTGACTGAATTATAAAAGAAAATTACTTCATAACTGTTTATTTCTCAGCCAAGACATCAAATATATGATTTCTGTTACTAGGGCCCAGTGATGGCACTGAAGTCAGTCGGAGCTGCAGACGGGCAAATTAACTAAAATAAGACTTTCCTCAAGCATTTTTTACAATGAGGAAGAGCAAAAGATGTTTCACAGATGTGATACAATTTTATTTCTTAAATATAAAGCCAATTAATCTATTTTGCCTAATCTGTCAACAAGGATAGCACCCTTGAAATATCTATAATATATGTATCACTTAATAAATCCCAACTCATGTACTCACTATACATGCCAAATCATGACTTAGAGAACTCCAATTCCTTAGATGAGGAGCTATAAATAAATACTGTAAATACCCAATATTTCTTGAGAATAACCAACATTAGTTTTTACCTCTGTAAAGCCCTGTATATTTCCATTCATTCACTAAGGAATCCACCTCTAAAAGGGTTACTGGCCCTGCAGGAGTATCACGAAATATGGATTTCCTTGCTGAGTGTTGACAATAGTTCCCTTCTGGGAGTAAAGCTGACTGGGGTCTTGCCCAGGCAGAGTTTAAGCGCTTGGAGCATACAATGGCATATTTTCAATACCTTCTGCAAAGCCCAGGAAGTTTGTCCCAACTGCGGGTCATTCCCAGAAAAGAAGAACTCCAAGTAGGACAAGATAGTGTTAGCTATATTTAGAACCTGCCTGGACATGTGCCCAAGTTACAAGAGCTCCCTGGCTCTGACAGACCCTAGAAATACAAATGCCCAGAATACACCTGCCAGGTCCCCACAACCGAAATAGGTTGAAAACGTGGATTGTAAAACCATTTTAGAGAGGATAAGCAAAATGTTAAAGATGAAACATTTCTCCCTGGCCTTTATACCAGCATAATGATTTCTAAAGTAAGGGAAGATTTGGTGTGAAATTCAGATCATAATAACTGAGGAGTGGTGATGAACAGCCTTAATTTACAAATCTCAGATGGAAGAATTAGATCATTTTCTGCTTCCAGGGGTGCCACCTCCTTCTCATTGCCCTGTTAAGGGTCAAATTGAACAGCTGTGAATTACCATTATTATTACTAATTATAATCACACTTTACTTGGTAGCTTTCTTTTATATAACTTCTGATGTAGAAATTGTTATGATACATTCTTGACCTTCATACTATGGATCAAAAGAGTAGTAATTTACTTATTCCTGTTTGGAGTAAATTATGATTTGCTACTGACTATGCTCAGAATGAGGATTAATGAAATAAGATTTAAAATTGTAAAGAATTTAAAGCCTAGTTCCTCCTGACCCCCTACTTTGAGCTAAAAAATGTGAATGTGTCTAAATTGGAAGGTAAGTTTTAATTTTATATATTTAGAAATTATACTATGTTTTTGGTACATTTTCTCCATGAATTATTCAGAATTCCTAGAAATTATCTGGTTTGTAATCATTCCCTTCAACGTTCAGAGTTCATAAACAGACATAAATAATATAAAGACTCAGAAATTATTGATAGCAATAATTTGAAAAATAGAAAGTGGATTTCTGTATTTAATGATTGCTAACTAAATGCTGAGCACTTTTCAAAGTACTTTTATTAACTCATTCAATCCTTACAAAAACCCTATAAAATGGATACCATAAATTTAGCCATTTTGCGGATGAGGAAACCAAAGCACAGAGAGTTTAAGTAAAATGTCCAAAGTCACATCTGCTATAAGTGGGTGGAACTCAGTCTGGCTCCCAAACCAGTAGATTTGATCATGACACAAAACTGCCTCCTTTATCAGCTGCAATGAGAAATTTATTCTTGTTTTCCCCATCTGTTTTTTCCTCTGAAAATGAATGTTTGGTATATGTTTGACCCAAGAATGGAATAGTAAGTTTACAAAAAGTTATTTTTGTTTTACTATAATGTTAACACATTCTACAGATTCTACTAATTACTAAAAATAACTTCATATAAATGGTCTGAACAAATATAAAAGATTATAGATTTGTTTAAAGCTCATCATCTTTATCTCAACATGAAAGGAAATGAATGTTTTAAAATAAATTATTTAGTGCACATACATAACTGTTTGAGTAAGTTGATTTTAAAAATGTAAGTATCATGGTGAGAACTCCCAGTGCTACACCCATGCCCATTTGCTTTCAAAGTTCTAGAACCAAATTCTCAATTAGGCAAGACGTCCCTTGGATACTTAAAGGTAACTCATATTCTTTATTGTTTCCCCAAGCTTACACTTGCTAAGGACAGTTCAGTTTTGTTTAATGAAAACATCCTTTAATTATCCAGAAAGAAATTTCACACATTTTCTTTGATCTGGCTCTCTCCTTCAACCCCCTCAATCCAATCAATCAGTCACAAAATTCCACCAATTCTGTTTCTGAAATGTCTCCTGAACCTTCATTCCTATATACACTGCTCTACTTTTTCGCCCGTCTTCTTACCCCCATGATCCTGTAAAGGTAACAGTTTCCAAAGGGTTGCCTTATCCTCTCTGTTCCTTATTAAATCAGTCCCCAACATATCTTCCAGAGTTCTCTTCTAAAACATAAAGTTTTCAAAGCTTTTAGCATTTTCCAATTGTTTATAGCAGAGGTTCCAAACTTTAAAGTGTATTAGATTCACCTGGAGGGCTTCTTAAAACAAACTTCAATTTCTGGGCAGAAGTCCCCAACATTTGGATTCAACAGGATTGGGATGGAGCCCAAGAATATGCATTTCCAACCAATTCTTAGGTGGTGCTAATACTGCTGGGCCAGTGACCACACTTTAGTTTCTCAACCAGTTCTGTGCATTAAAACTACTTGGGACAGTTTTATAAAATGCCCTGCTAAACCCTAAACCAATTACATGCAGGCATTGATTTTTTTTAACCTTAGAGGAGATTCTGATTTGTGGACAGTATTATATACTTGAAAATTGCTAAGAGGTTAGATCTTAACTGTTCTCACCACACACACACACACACAAAGGTAACAATATGAGGGGATTGATATGTTAATTAGCTTGATTGTGGTGATCACTTTATGATGTATATATAGCAAAACATGACATTGTGCACCTTAAATATATACAATTTTTATTTGTCAGTCATGCCTCAATAAAGCTGAAAAACCCCCACAAATTTGGTCAGGTGTCCTTTATTTTTATTTGCAAAATCTGGCAAACCTACCAACATTTTCATTTCAAACTGAGCCCTACAAATTATGTAATGGATCTTGATCATGAAAACAAATTTAAATATTCATTTCATAAGGCAAATGGATGAAATGAGTAATACATGACACCAGCTGA